TAAATTTCAGTATCAATTGAAATAAAATGTTTTAAAAATAAAGGCTAGAAAATCTGACAAAGAATTATAAGTAGGTGAAGGAAATAAGTAGGAAGGAGGCTGATGCTGTGAAAAATAAGACCTCTTCATGCTCAGTGACCACTGGGATATGTGGGGATCCTAGGTAGACTCAGTGAAGAGTTCAGAACACATCGACCTTTTACCACTGAGGAGATGGTAAAACTCCAGGTAGGGTGTGAAATCAAATGGGGAATGAATCTGGTAAAACAAGCTGTCAAGGCAAGAACAATGCACATGAATTCCTATGAAGTTTATCAGACCAGTTCTTCCTGTTACACACAAAGGCAAACACGCACATAGAGTCTCTCCTCCCTCTTCCTCCTCTTCCTCCCCCTCTTTCCCTCAGTCTCTTTTAGTTCAGTCAGAGGAGAACACAGCTGTCTAAGCAATGCTGAGGGTCACACACACACACACACACACACACACACTGTGTTAACATTTACAATCTCTAACAACGGAAGACTTTCCTAGCCCTAATTTTAACCCATAAACTAAGTAATTCAACTTTACTGCCATGAAGGTATAAACAAGAAATCCCTTTTGCCACCAGGCCTGAGAAGCTTCAGAACCAAAAGGAAGCTGGGGTCCCTAACCTCTTTCAAAGGCCTCCGGTGCCCAGGACCTCCTCTTGACCATGCAAGAAATCATTTTCCACATATCCTGTAGCCTGTCACTTGTCCAAAACAAAAGACACCAGCCTCTGGTTTCAGACTGGTAGGAATGACAAACCAGTAAAAAACACTGATAGCCCAGAAGCAAAAAAGGGCATAGGATATGAAGAAGCAATTTACAGAAAAGGAAATACAAATGACTTGTAAACTTAAAGATATTCCACCTCACTAATAAAGAGAAATGCTAATTAAAATTACAGAGATATCACTTTTCACCTATCAGAATGGCAGAGCCTTTTTTAGCATATTGTGTTTGCATGGGCATGGGAAAATAAACTTTTTCATACGTTGTTGGTAAAGTGTGTAAATTGGTACAGCCTGTGGTTTGAAAATACCAAAAATTTTAAATGTGCAGACATTTCACCCTATTCTTCCATATCTAGGAACTAATCCTATATATATGCAAACAATGCTGGGACTGCAAGTTTCAGATGTTGATCAGAATGGGCTGGTTAAATGATTAATGGAAGATGTATACAATGAAATACTATGCATTTGAAAACCCAAAAAGATAAGGAAGTACTTGTGGAACTTCCATGTTATTAAAGCTCATTTTAAGTAAAAAATGCAAAGTGCATAACAGATATATAGTATGCTATCATACTTATAAAAAGGGGACTATATATTTTGCACATATTATATGTAATTACATGTAAGAATACCTATAACTCACTTGTATATGCATAAAATATTCCTAGAGCAATAAAAAAAGGTCACACGTTGCCTCTGAGCTGAGGAACTGGATGGCTTGGGGAAGGGATGGGAGAGACACTTTTCACTCTATCCTTTTGTGTCTTTTGAATTTTTGACAGATATTTTTTAAATTCCTGATTGCTCTGAAGAACAAAAGCATTTGAAAGCTCACATCCAACACCTGAAAAAAACCCTGAATTTCCTAAAATATTAAGCAAAAAGACTATTCATTCCAACGATTGGATGCTGAATTTGGCATAAGCACCTCTAAAATACCAAGGTCATGAGCTCCAACACTAGCCCAGGGTCCCTAAAAGTCTCCCTCAGTACCCAGAGGCCACCCTTCTTCCAATTAGGCAGGAAGGACTTGAATACAAGACAACAGAGGAAGCTAGAAGAGAGCAAGATTGCCATCAACACATTAAAATGGCACTGTGAGGGGAATTAGTTACTCCAGCCTAGCCTAGCACCATGCCCAATCCATACTAATCCTCTAACCACCTCTAACCTTCACTTCAGATCCCCCCACTGACATGACTAAGTTCAGGTTGGCATTTTGCATTCTGGGATGTGGAGTCCAGCCAAAGCACACTGATAGGCATAAGAAGGAAACTTAAGAACTAAAGAAAGAAAAACACATCAGCCATGAAAACCACAAACTGCTGTCCCAAGAAAGGCCCCTTGCTCTCATCTTAAACAGAACAAATGCTCCAAACAGGAGGGGATCAGTGGGTGTGGGCAGCAATGGCGGGGTGGGCCTCTACTGATGCCAAGCAAACACTAAGGGAATCAGACTGTTGCAAATTATTACACTGGACTATTAAATCCATTCCAAGTCATCCATGTTGCAGAAAAGAGAAGGGATTTGTCTGAGGTCACACCGAGTTTGGCTGGCCCTAGATGAAAACCTGTCTGGTTTTATCTACACTATACAATGAAGTCCTTTGAATGGTCAATTGCTGCCAAATACTTATATCCAGCCCTGGCTCTCCCCAGTGCTCATATATCCTACCATCTCTTTGACACCTCCTCTAGGCTAATACAAAAGCTTAAGTCCCAACATCCAACATTGAGCTCTCCTCCCAATACCTGCAACACCAGTTTTTCATCCAGGACCCCTTAGCTTAAACAGATGACATCACCATTCATTGGTTTCTGAGCCAAGGACTAAACTGTGTTCAGCGTTTTAACTCCAGCCCTACCACTTCCAGTTGAGACCTTAGCTAAATTAAATAAGGTCTTTAAACCTCAGGTTTTGTCATCTGAAAAATGGGATAATAACAGGAACTATCTGCTAAGACAGCTGTGAGCACTGAAAGGATGTACATAAAATGCTAAGCACATAGAAATGTTTTTGTATGTTCAGTCTTCTCGCCTACTCCCCCACCCCACACCCTTCACCTGGTTACCTATGATTCTGTCTTGTTTCAACTCAAATGTTACTCTCCACTAGAAGCCTTCTTTGATCACCCCCTGCCTGCCAAGGTCATAAGCCCTCCATTTTCCTCAAAGCACAGTGTGATTCCCCCTCACATCACATATCATAATTATATATTTACTTTGTGATGGTTTGATTAATGGTCATCTTCTCCCATAGCCTATTAAGCTCTATGAGTGCAGGGACCGGAAGTGTTAGACCTAATTTTTGTATCCTCAACACAGTTCCTGACACTTACTTGTTATTTAGCAAACAGAAGTCAGGTGAAGTACCCAAGAAGCATATTTATCAGCAGAGAAACAGACCTAGATATTATAAGAGAAGTCACAGGACATCAACCCAAGTGAGAACTCATGTCCATCCCATCTAGGGGACTAGGTAGTTAAGAGCCCAGTGAGCCCCATCTAACCACTGGGAAGTTCATGACTAACTGCTTGTTTGACCAGGATTCTAACCGTACAGGATTTGGTCTCCACAGAACTAGAATACACTCTCCAGAAACATGCATAGCCATACCCCAGAGATTTTTTTGGATAAATACCAGTCCCTTCCATACCTTTCCTAATGTAACCATCATTCCACAGTGTGTGTGATTCTCATGTTTAAAGACACGTATTTTCATACCACAGGACCTCTAAACACAGCCAGCTACTACATTTGGGGCTCAGCTGAAGAAACAGTTCTGTGTTCCAACTTGGGGGTAAAACTGAGCTCTACTGGACCTAGCAGGAAAAGGCATGTTTGCTCTCCCGTGCCAATACCAATAAGGGATTTTCAGGAATATCTTGTACTACACTCAATGTTTCTTTATGCAGCAACTCCAGAAATCTAACCTCCTTGTAATATGGGGCTGTAACGTATAGCAAAGTATTTTTCAATGCAGCTTTTGACACCAGGCAGGACTGGTTCAAATTCTGGCTCTGCCTCTTACTAGTTATGAATGAAGCCTTAGACCCCATTACTTGACCTTGGCCACAGTTAACTCATCTATACTAATAGATAAAACAGTACTTCCTACAGTTGTAGGAAGCATTAAATATAAAGACACAGCATATGGCTAAATTGTTATCTTTAAGAAAGTTCTTTCTACAAAGCATACCACCTTAGAAAATAAAAGTTCTATAGCTAACACAGTTCTAGGTGCAACACAGCACCCCATTCCCAGAGGAGATTCAATGAACAACAGTCTTCCTCAGCCTTTGTTTATTCCGTTACAGACTACCAGGCCACTTCGTTATGGGACTATCTGATACCACTCTTCTATTTTGAGTAGAACTGTCTGAGCATAAATGATCCTTGTCCCCAAGCTGGACAACTGAAATGTTATACAAACCACCCAGCAGGGTCCCTTGTCTTTAGGGTCAAGTGAACCCAGTTTCCTTACAACTTCTCTCACGCATATGCGCACACGCGCACACACACACACATATCCTTTTTTAAGAATATAACTTCCCTGGCATAGGACTCAGAGATGCTAACAAGATAACAGTTGCAGACAAGGGGCGGGGGAAATAAGAGCTCTTCAGCCAAAGGAAAATACTGGAGAAAGGGAAGCTGAAATTTTCTAAGCTGTGGTGTAGCCAGGAGAAACTGAGGTATCACTTGTGCTTCTGCCCTAATATTTCGTTTATCTATTACACAAAGGAAACAGTAGTTGTTGCCATTTGCAAAGTGACTGTTCTCCAAACAGCATGAGACCAGGCACTGAGAGAGAATACAGAACTACCTTTGCCTTCCAAAAGCTTGCTAAGTAACTGGAGGCACAAAACAAACGGGCAACAGCTAACTATGCCCTGAATGAGTAATAAAGAGTAAGGCTGAGATAAGATAGGCTGCTTTGGAAAAAGTAAAACTCTCCTGAAGGAGGCACCTAATGACTAGGCAGATGAAGGTGGAAGGAAATTTGAGACATAGCAAAGACAAAGAACCAGGTTGAGTTGGCCTAGACAAGAAGGGATAGAAACATACAGAATAAAATACATTTAGGAAAATGTATAAGCAACAGAATAAGAAGTGCAATATTTGCACGAGGGGGCAGTTTTACTTCTTCCTTGAAAAAAAATGAGAGAGCAAGCAAGCCCATCAAAAAACCATGTGTCCAAAGTCACCCACCAGCAGCAGCCCTCAAAATCACTTACCCGAATAAGGGAGGCCTGGTGCCGAGGGGCCTTGGCCCCTGGGCCCCCCGATGAGGGTCCTTCAGGCTGGACGAGGGGCTGTCTAGCCTCATAAGGAGCTGAAACAGCAAAAGAGAAAGTCAGCATGGTACACTGACTCCACCCAACCTTTACCACTTCACACTCAAACTAATAGAGCATCTGCTCTTCAGGGAAGAATTTGCAGAGGAATTAAGAGTTTATATGCCTAGGGCCAATTAGGACAAACAAACCTTGATGCCCCTGGCTACAATTTAACTAAACAATCTAAAGACATTCAACCAATTCATGGTAAGACAGGAAAACATTTACATCAGGTTAAGGATTAGGAATAAATTACAAGAGTAGAAGGGGGAGAACCTAAAATGGGATAGAAAACAATCAGCAGTTAGAAAAGTGCCATGTTTTAAGTGTTCAAATTCTAAATATAAGAAAATTCTATATATACCCTACTGGTTAAAAGTCTTCCATTCATCATCCACCCTGCAAAGAAGCAAAAAAATAGGCATTTTGAACACTTAACATTATCATTTATTTTTTTTTTTAATAAATGGCACTGTCTTCTTTTCCCCATTGGAAAAAATGTAAAACCAAGTAGAGAAAAATACAAAGATAAATGTATCTTATATGCATTATTTTATCATTCCATAACCAAACTGAAAAGAACTTTGCTAACTTTTAAAAAAGTTCTTAATCCACAAAACAAATGTAGTTTTTCATTCCTTTCATTTCTACAACACTTAATAATGACCTTGCCAATATGGTAAGAAAACAATTAATCATAACCAGGTAGTATTCAGTTCCAGTAGAAAGGGGAAATTATCACCCAAGATGAAATCATTTCTGATCTCTGTGGGTTAACAGTTCAAGTTTTTGGAAGTACAGAAATAAGCAAAATGCTTTATTTCTGTAGCATCTTGATAAATAAAATTAGGTAGGGGGAGCAGTGCAGCCTAGTATGGCATCACCTTTAGTACACTTTGACCCTTTTAAAATAAAGAAGGTATAACAACAGCACACCAAGGACAATAAACCACTCTTGGGCTCAACATCTGCTTTTGGTATTGCTTCCAAGGAACTGGAACGCAACAGCGTAACATTAAAATACATTAAAACACATTCAAATACTAAAATCATTACCTGGCAAACCATTAAGTAGATTTTCAGACCCTGGTAACAATGGACTAAAAATGCAAAAACTTCAAAAGAAACATACACAGGCAGCTCATAATGCAGATCTTAAAAAACAGGTCTCAGCTAGCAAGCAGGCATTGTCTTTGAAGAAGGATTTTTAAGATCATTCCATTTTGACAGAATACCAAATTAAACTCCTAATGCTGGAAGGTTTAAACCACAGTACAGTACTGTGGTTGCATTACTAGTGGTCATGAGCTTTCCATGGGGAGCTGATCCCACAGACCTCTGGTTCTCCTCAGAGGGCAGGAGCTTCTATTGCCCAGGAGGGACACATATGAGGGAAGCCATCTGGCCCATAGATCCAGTCCCCCTGCCACAAAGGCCTTCCCTTGGAAGAGACAGACACACCTCATCAGCAAGGCTTAAACAAAGACTCAGCCGCATGGGGCGGGGGGGGGGGTCATTTTTGAAGAGGCCTGGCCTCAATGGCAACTTTTCCTACTCTTGCGGGAAGCCTGGGCTGGCTATGCCTGCCTATGACTGGAAAGGTCAGTGTCTGAAGCCCATCTGGTCACAAATCTAAAACACATGTGCCCTGATCAGCTCTTTCACTACCACAGCTGATCGTCAAGCCATCATGGTCCTTACTCCTCTCATTCCTCAACTGGATCCGAACTCAGGAGGTAAAAAAGTTAAGTGTTACTTATTACCTCTACTCTCCTTCCTCTCAAATAAAACTCAAAACACGCAACTCAATGCAAAATAAACAATTCTTATAACCCCTTACAAAAGGTTTAATAAGGAAATAGAAGTAACTTTCTCCAAGGAGAAGTGTATAAATGAATCCTAAAGATTTCATCACCCTGAGATTCAGTGTCAAACTAGAACAGAGACCACAAGTAACTGCACAATAGACCCTACAGCCATAATCAACCCAATGAGTACCTAGGTGACTTTCAAGAATACTTGAGAACTTCAAAACCAAAACAGGTACTAGATTCTAAAAACATAAACAAAATACTAGGGAACACCAGAGTACCTACAATGTGCCAGAAACTGTGACAGGCACAAAGCACAAATGTTTATGCAACATTTCTCATATGCTCCATACAGCAAACCTCTGAGGCAGAGATTATTCCACTTTACAGATAAGGGGAAACTGAGGCTCAAAAAAGTAAAAACCTAAAATCACACAAGCTAGAAATAGGCAGAAATAAGAAATATTTGACATCAGAAAAAACTCACATCCCAGCCCAGGTTCTTTAGTGAGTAGATACCTAGAATTGACATTTTCAGAATAAAATGTATAACAAAAAGCAGAACTTGATTTTTGAAATAAACATTAGATATCAGAAGAAACAAGTTAAAAAGTTGAAAGTAGTTGTCCCTGGAAATCAGAAACAGGTTGAATGGGAAGAACAGTTGTTTTTGACTACAGGCGTTTTAAGTATTATTTACCTATATACATGTATTACTCTGATTTAAACATTATTTTTAAAAACTATGAATAGCAGTTACTGCCTCTGAGGGTTGTGATAAGAAGAAAATAATGTACACAAAGACCTCTGCACAATGCCTGGTGCACAAGACTTACCCAATGAACATTAACTAGAGCTATATCCAGGAGCCCAGGAGAGAAGGTGAACAGGGGCCTGAATCACAGGTTGTTCTGAAGATGCTCAGGCTGATTTAAAGCATATATTTCACAAATGCCCCAGTAGCCAGGAATCATGGCAGAATCTTGAACAAGGAAATGACCCCAGAAAAATGTACTCCTAGAAAATTATCCCTAAGCAAAACTCCTTTCTGAAGAGGCATAAATTAATAATTCTTGAATGCTTAGTATCAGAGGCACTGAGGTTTAACAGGTTTTAGATATGCCATTATATAGATCAAAGGGAAGGTGGTATACAGAAATAGGAAAGAAAATCCTAGATTTGTCACATGCATTGATGGCACTGTGAGGACGAGAGAGGAAGAGTTAAGAAAACAGATGGAAACTGAGTTCTGAAAATGTGGGGAGAGAGAATGAAGACATGTGGGCTTCTCTTACTTCTTGACCTAAAGAGATATGACAGAAAAGGAAGCAGACAGGTAAAGAAAATCCTTTGGGAGGAAATCCACAGACATTATAAAAATAAGAATGAACCAGCTTCAAAGTAAACAGTATCAATTAGAAGCAAAAATCATAAGATGGACCCAACTAACAGATGGAAAAACTTTCCCTTCCTTTGACTTAGATAGACGGAGAAGTCTAAATGGAAACAACTGTAAATATTTTATTTCTTAATGACTTTGTTCCCAGGTACAGCAACCTAACAGTTTCCTGATCAATGGTTAGACCTAGAAAACTCAATTCCCTGAGAAACAGGAAACTATTCAGACTCCTCCTCTCTGTGGGTAAGCTGTGCAAAGGAGAACCCTCTGGAAGAAAAGTTCAAGTTTAAGGATCATGACGCAGGAGAAAAACCAGGAAGGGGTAACAGAAACTTAGAAAATGAATGTTTCAAGTATGAAAGAGTGACCAGAAGGAGATGTCACTTCACATCTAACAAAATGGCTAAAATTAAAAACACTTAAGAAAAAGAAACTACTGAGAATACCAAACACCAGTGCTGGCGTGGAGCACTGAACTCTCACACACATTGCCAGTGGGAGTATATAGCACATTGTAAAACCCTCTGGCAGTTTCATATACACCTACCCTAAGGTCTGACAATTCCACTCCAAGGTGCCAGGGAAATGACAATATATCTCACATAAGACTGGTACACAAATGTTCATAGTACCCTTATCCATAACAGCCAGGCACTGGAAATGAACCAAATGTCCATCAACAGGAGAATGGATCACGAAACTGAAACATTCACACAATGGAAAACTACTGAGTAATAAAAAGGAACAAACTACTAATATACATAACAATATGGATAAATCTCAACCTTTGTACTGAGGGAAAGGCAGCAGACTAAGAGTACAGTCATTCAATATGATTCCATTCGTATGAAGTTCTAGAAGAGACTAAACTAATGCATGGTGATAATAACCAGAACAGTGCTTGCATGGTGGGGGGGTGGGGGAGGGGCAGGGAATAGACTGGAAAGGGGCATCTCTGGGGTGATGGCAATGTTCTATTCTTGACTGAAGTGGTGTCTACATGAGTGTATCCATTTGTTAAACTTCAATTTGAAAATTTTAAATGTGTGTATTTTATCATGTGTAAATTTAACCTTTTTTTAAAAAAAAAGCATAGAAAAGAATGAAGGCGTGTACAACCTTGACATAGGTTACTAAGAGTCAAGAAAGATGGAGAGAGGCACGTTATTTCCTTGCCAATGAGGGAAAGGAAGCCCAATTTAAATGGAATGAGAGAATGGGGCTTGAAGTAAAGAAAGTGTATAGACAAGTTTTTTAAAGGAGTATCAAAAAAGGTAGAACTTGCGGTTGAAAGAACATATGGGATGTGAACAGATCCCAGAAATGGGCTGCTTTAATTTGTCTGATTTCTCTCAGACTGTTCAAGTACAGTTGGACAATATCCATTATATCATAGACAAATTCTCACAAATGCCTAGGGTGCCTAACTGGTTTTCTTGGCTTCACTGGAGATGGCTGGTAGTTATAGATTTGCTTTGTTTATGTCACCGTATTCCTATTATGTTAATATGTATGTGCAAGTTAGTTAGTAGTTTAAAGCCTATACATGCTTAAGGTACTCTACAAGAAGATATGTCAAAGAAATAATCAATCCTCCCATGTTTTCTTCCATATGCTACCTCTATAGCTTTTCTTCTTCCTTCCTAATTACAACCCTTAAATAGAATTCGTGCCTCATATTTAATTTACCGAGCATCATAATTCCTCCAGGTGGTAAAGATACCTCGAGACAAGTGCTGGGCATAGAAGCCACAGGGCATAAATCTGCAAAGAAGTAAAAAGCTAACCTTTTCAAACAATATGGCTTCTCTCTCACTTACCAACTTTACATTTCCCTGTATGGCCCCGGAAGAGGACTGGTTAGCCAGAGACGGGTAAGATTCCTCAAGGGAGGAACAACCTAAGACAGGCACAGTCGCAGGGGGGCCACCAGGTGAGAAATCGGGGAACAACAGTGGTGAAGCTTAGAACCTCACCCCTCCCTGTTTTGAGAGAAAGCTTCTGCATCCGTGGATGTTTTAGTGCCCTTGTCTAGCTCGGATTAGCACATAGTCTACAGGCACACACATGATCATCTACAATTGCTCTCTTACAACACTAAACTATGTTTTCTACCTTTATCTTGCATCTACCTACCACTTCAGCATTTTATTAAAAATAAAAATAATAATAATAATAAAGGGAGAAATGTGGGATCCACATATAAATCAAGTATAAAAATCAAACGAATATTCATATTTGACCTGATTGTTTATAGTTCATAATGCGTGATCAAAACCGAAAGTTTCTGTGATGACTGCCCTTGTACTGTTCACCATGTAAGAACTTATTCACTATGTAAGAATTCGTTCACCATGTAAGAACTTGTTCGATATGCTTCAGAAGATTGGAGACTGACGAGAACTAGGCTTGGGGTGGATTAATGATTGTGCATTGAGCATTGAGTCCCCTATACAGAATTTTATTGTTGTTGACAACCATTTGATCAATAAATATGAGAGATGCCCTCTAAAAAAAAAAAAAAAAGGTAGAACTTGGTGATAGCCTGATTCAGTAGAACAAAAAGTATCTCACCTGGGAATTAAGAAACAGGGCACCACAACACCAGGCAGAGGACTCCCAAATTCCAAGCCCAAATAAGATTAGCAATAAAAAAAAAATCCCTCTTCTAAAACTAGGACGATCAGGCAAGAGAGACTATAAAAGGAAAATGAAGAATTCTCAACCCCATTTCCTTTCAGAAGCAACCTAACAGTCTCCTAATCAATGGTTAGACCTAGAAAACTCAATTCCCAATAGGACATTCAAGTTTCAGGAGAGATTTTTTTGTTATTATCCCTTAACAACATTATCTCACAGTTGCATAGGACTTGATTTCAAATCAGATTTTATATTCACATTCTCACTGATCGTCACAACACCCCTATAGGATACTGTTACTCCATTTTAGAAGAGGACAGGAAATCGTGGTTCAAAACAGTTAAATGGCTTTCCCAATGTCACATAGCTAGTCACATAAATCTACACTTTCACATTCCAATTGAAAGATTTTTCCATTATGCCACACCTGCTTCTCTTTGCAAGACTGCAGCCTCTCTTTAGTCCAGCCTAGCATACATTTTTATATGTGTCCCTCTAGAAGTCACCACTATTTTCAATGCAGCAAAACCTGCAGAAACTGGGTCATTTTCAACCACGGCTCACAAAATTAAAAAAAGTGGAGGAAGCTACAGATATCCAATTCTAGAATACCTTTAATTGGTCATATCTTATAGGAACCTGAGCCTCAGGAGGATAAGATGTTGCAGTGAATTCATGGAGCTTTAAGCAGTGCAGCCTAGGCAGCCAACTCTGCAAGTCATCCTCAAAACCAACTAACTTATTTTGCCTCTAACATGGTAAACATAGCAAGCTACCCCACAGCTGGGCACTTCATATACTTCTCAGCAAAATGGTCCCCCTAGCATTTCCCTTATTCTTATTCCCAAACAGAAACTAAATATTTTCACTTATGTGATCAGTCTTTAAAGATTGAATCAACTCTGTTGCTTTTGGTTTGCATAGTTAATATTTTTTATGCAGTTTCATAACAGCAGTTATTATATAAATGTGTTTGGTGTGTTTGCAGAAAAGGAATAACAATTCCCAAACAATACAAACCTAAATATGTCATGTTCCTGTGTAATGAAATCTTTGTATGAAGGTTTAAATCATCTAAATCATTGTTTACCAGTCTAAAGATGAACTAGCTTGTAGGACAGGAGACGTGACATTACTAAGATACATTTCGTTCTTTTTTTTTAAACCTGGCTTGAGAGTGTAAAATTAAATTGAGCCACATGTCCAAAGACAGTGGTAATTAAGTCAGGAGATCCCGCAGCTGGTGGCATTGCTGCCTGACAGATGGAGGAGTCTCTAAGACACTGCCTGGGATGGCCTCTTACCTGGATGCATCTGCTCTGTGCTGCTCCGCAGTTTGCTGTAGCCATGGCTCAAGGGTACCCTCTGGTAATGAGGCGGGGAAGAAGGAGGGGAGGCGAGGGGTGACATCGTGGGAGACTGTGTTTCCTGCTTCAAAGAACCAGAGCAGAGTTCAGAGGTGATCACTCCAGAAGCCTGGCACTCTGAGCTGCAGTTATGAAGTATAATGTAACTCTATTGCTGGTGAACTGGCTGATCTAACACATGGAGGAAATGTTCTCTCAAAAACGTAAATGGCTGAAAAGCAATGTCTGAGGATTCAAGTCTCCCAGAGAATAAAGTCTCTCCAGTGCTCAGTTACCTAGATTACTAAAACAAGACTGAAACACTCCTAGTTATTCCAATAATATTTTCCTCTGAAAAATTAAAGACATTGATCACATGCATAACTTCATACTCCCCAATCTTGACCTCTTTGTGGATAGATTCCATTTTCATTCATTAACAAAAGCTCCTACTTCCTGGATTTACCACTTATCACGTCTTCCAGCAAATGTGAATATTCTTAAAAATCATTTAAAATGCTTAATACTAAATATTCTTGGAACTTACTATACCAAAGTAAAATGCTAGGTTTTTTTTTAAATCTTGAGATATTATAAAACAATTCATTGTGGGCAAACCACTCTAACTAATCCACTCCTAAACATTAAGATGGAGCCTTAAGAAGCTGTTATTTGAATCTCACTTCAAGTGTGAACTTTGTGTAGGACCCTAGGCAAGGTAAGCAACCTTACTCTGCTTCTGGGTTTCCTCCTCTTTTTTGTTTTAATGCTACCAACAGAACTGGTAACTGGACTACCCAAGTAACAAGAGAACAGTACTTCTTTATCAACACAGAGACTATACAGGTGTTCTTAGTGTAAAAAAAAGCAATCTGAGATACTGATCAAATACACATCTTCAAGAAAAACAAATATTTACTTTTAAGTGTGAGCTCACACCCACAGATTGGGTGGGCCTAACATAAACCCAGCCTGAAGGGACAGGATGGCTCCTCAATGTCACAGCCAGGGAATGGGGCCTTGACATTTCCCAAGGCCTCAACCACCTGGAATAGTGGACCCTTATTACTCTCCAAATGCCGGTAGGAAAACATGTCAAAGAATATTGACTGAAAAATCCTATACTCCTTTTTACATATATCCCTGAAAAGCTAGTTTAAAATGTATCAGAATTATGAAAGCAATAGTACATGGGTTATTGAAGAAGACATGCTACACCTCAGGTATAAATATAAAATGTCTACAGCAATACCTCATATATCCAGCATTATCAGGGTGAGCCATATAAATTATTTTTCTTACTTAATTTAGTTCAAAAACATTTTGATTCATTTTCCTAAAATATAAGAAATTTTTTTGCTTTAGAGAATATATTATATTGAATATAATTTGACTTTCCTGCATGATTCAGTGTCTTATTAGAAGTATGGGGTGTACCTTGATACCCTCAGGGTTTACTAAGGTGTAAGGCTATTTACCTCTTCTAGATAGGCTTACTCTGGTATTTTCTACTTTTGTCTACCAACCACCGCCTGACTATTGCAATTAATGGTCTACTTTTAAAAGCCCACCCTCTCCATTCTTGTTCCTAACCTGATAAACATGTAATAGCAGCATTTCCCAAATATGCTCCCCCAAAAAAGATTCCCTAGTCAAAGTTTAGAAAATGCAGATCTCTAGGTCTCTTTCTTACAAGACTTCTCATGGCCTTTAATATGCTCATGTGCACTGTGGATCTCCAAGACTGTAGATTTAGTGCTTCCCTCCAAAATAGGATATGAAGCAGCATTCTCCAAACATATTTAACCACAGAAACATTTTCTCCAGACTTTTTTGGAGAAGACCTATTAAAAACTGTTGGAAGTTACATTTCAAAGAACCCACTTGGAAATGCTGAGTACAGAAATCAAATAAGTGTGCTACATCAGTAGCCTTACTGTAGACACAATTCTACATTAAACTCTAGAAGAGCCCATGGGTGGCTCATCGTAATTCCTATGCATCAGTCTCTTTTCCTTGCTACAAGGAAACTTCACTGGCTGACTTTCAAGTCTGTAACTGAATCCCAGATGATGAGATTTGCTGGAAGCTTGACAGCAGACATGAGGTACTGCTACATGAGGTTTCATGGTCAGAATCACATGGACATACCTGATCAGACTGTTTACCTGTTTATCTTCATCATCCATTCTTTTGAAGGTATTTTTTTCTGGGATTAAATATGGAATGTGAACTTTAGTCCCATGCAGCTCAGCCAGGTTTCCAAATCGCATGTCACCATCGGTCTTTGACATCACAAAACGAGGCAGTGGCAATTCTTTGGAACCAGAATCAGAGAAGCTCAAATGAGACTACTTTAAAACTGTTAAAGGAGAACCTCGTGGCCAAAAGAGGAATCACTTTTGAGGAAAAATTCCAGAGCAGTAAATATAAGATTAATTTTTTATTTTGATACAATGAGGACTCCTATATCATTATTATTATGTTATGATATATAATAATGTCATAATAGAAAAATGCTTGTTTTACCAAGGTATTCTAGTTTAACATTTTTAAATGTTGTCAAATCACTGCAGAACAAATGAAGATTTTGGACTGATCTTCCATTTCAGCCCCTTTAGTACAGCACCAAGAAAAAGGATCTGGTAGTGAATAAATACAATAAGTAACAAACGTGGCAGGCAAAACTTATACAGTGCTTATTACATGCCAGACACTATATTAAAATCTGCAAATATTAACTCATTTAATCCTCACAACTTGATTTGTTAAGACTATCATTAGCCACCTTTCCAATGTGGAAACAGACACAAAAGAGCTAAGTGACATCCCCAAGTGTACGCAGCTCCTCTGTGGCAGAGCTGGCTGTTAACCAGCGCCCACTGCCCTATTCCTAGGGCAAACTTACTGGATAGAAAGAAGTCTCCCACCCTATGTCATTCCCTAAGGAATTTTCACACTCAATCAGCAGTTGTGTTTTCATAATGGAATAAGGAAAATGGTATCAAATTAGAGCAATCAGTCCAACGTTCAGCCAGATTCTACTGTGAAAACCATTAGCCACACTCACAATGCTACAAAGAGCTGAAATGCCATAGTCTGCTATATTTACTTATCTTTCAAATATCTGACAAAACTATTCTGAAACCAGAAATGATTCTCTGGCACACTTCTCATTCTCAGCACAGCAACTAACACACAATCACACAACACAAAGAACTCCAAAAGTGGGGATAATATTATGGCTTATGCATAATGATTTGCATCTGTATCCATTGTTCAGGAGAATACTCATCAGTGTGCCTTTGCACTTCCATCAGCTCTCTAGTCCAAAAACACAGCTGCTCTTCCAATGATTGATGCTGTGCTAAAGCCAGAAAACATCTTAGCAACAGCAAGCAAGTATCCTAGCTCCCCAGGCAAAGAAGGCCCCTGGCTCTCTAATATCCACATCATGTTTATTTTTAGTTGCTATGTCCACATTTGATTCAAAGAAGTGGGCAAGATGACAAATCCCTGTGTGATCAATCAGCCAAAGGCCCAAGAGACATAAATAGGATAACCAATCTGGAAAATTAAACCAAGACTCATCTCTAAAGAGAGGATGGCCACCATTTTTAATGTTTCCCAACCTTGGCAGCTCTCCAGCACTCAAGGCAGGACTGGACTTCAAAAGAAAATCTAGATTCTCAGTAAATCAAATATAAATTAATCTTATGATTCTCTTCTCAGAAAGGTATTTGTTTCAGCTCAGTCTGCAAAAAGGATCTTAAAAAAAGATGGAACAAGATCACATAAAATAATCTGCAGCCTGATCTGCCCACAAGATGACTTAACTTTCAAGCACTACTTGAGGGAAAAAAGAAGTAAAAGCTCAGCATTTGTAAGCTTCCCCACCAGTGCTTTACTGGCGTTCAACAGATAACTCCAGGAATAATGGAATACAAACATGGTATGATCAATATCAACTACTCTACTAGGGCTCCCAGCTACCCTTTAGGACACTATCACTTCACACATTCTCCTTCCCTGGCTATGGCATTTCTCCAGAACTGTTCACCAGGGAAAGAACCTCTCCCCCAGCCAGCCACCAAACAGCAAAAGACAAAATACAACTGAATTTCTGTCATACTTTCTTTGGCTATGTGATTTTAAGCAACTCTCACGTAACAGACTTGTAACCATGCATCATAATATTCCTATCACTGGAAATGTTCATTTCCCTTAAGCTACTGCTAGCTTTTAAAAAATGAAACTCTAGTTTGTTAATATTCAATCGAAATATTTTTCCCTAGTACCATATACACCAATAGTGAAACTTCATTGGAAAATTAATAAAGTATCTGTTATCTAGCTATATATGTCAAGCAATCACAGGAGAAGATCCATTTGTAGTAGTTGGTTAGAATCTTTTCCCCCAAATTGAATTAACACACAGTAAACAAGAGTTTGAATTAAATGTTTACAGGGGCCAAGCAGACAGTGAGTACAGCCATCTGAGGCAATAGTTGGTTTCATAATGGTATCTTAGGTTGTAGTCTTTGAACACAGAAACACATTGTATATTAAATATATTTTCCCTTCCACAAAGAAAACTAGTTTTCCTCCTTTTTCAAACATGTGTCTCTCTAAAAATTAAGGGAAAACTCCTTTGTTTTTCTAGGTTTGATGGAGGCATGAATATAAGAAATAGTTCAATTTCCTCAATCCACCTCAGAAAACATAAATAGTATAAATGAAGTAACAAATGGCAAATGACAAGGGGAAAGGTGGGGCTGGGCAGAGAGACTGTGTCCTATCTAAACTGGCAGCTGCTGTTCACTGTCCTTCAATACTGTCCTTCAATGCTGTCCACTAGAAATATAATGCAAGCCACATACATAATAATAAATTGGATAGTAGGACATTACAAGAAATTTTTTCAAGTGAAAACACCAGTCACAAAAAGACAAGCACTGTATGATTTCACTTATATGAGGGCTCACTAGTCAAACTCACAGCAACAGAAAGCAGAATGGTGGCTGCCAGGGGAAGAGGCAATGGGGAGTTGTTTTTTAATGGGTACAGAATTTCCTTTTTGTAAGATGAAAAGCATTCTGAATTTGATCAATAAATATGAGAGATTCCCTCTCAAAAAAAAAAAACAAAAAAACAAAAGAGCGGCTAATGAACTAAAAAAAAAAGTTTATCTTTGTACTTTTCAGAAGTATCAAGGAGAATATTCTAAGAAATTTTATATAGAAAGATATGGACTGAATAGACTACAATAAAAATAATATTCACTTGCCCAGAATGGACATAAGAGGGCATATACAATTTACACAGCACATTTTAAACAACAACAACAGTAATTCCCATATACTGGAATCATTAAGAATATGAAAGAAATAATGTATACAAATTAATGTGTTAAGTTGTTAGAGTTATACAATTTATTATTGCATTGCTTTGTGAAAATCCTCCATCCATGTGACCAAAAAATACAAAATCCCCTGACAAGGACTGACTAAATAATTGAAATCCAAATATTTGCAATCACATGTTTGGAGAGACATTTTTAATTGTGAGAAAAAGGCTAACTGCTAGGTCTTGTGGACAGTTTTCCAGAGTACAAAAATTATTTGGATTAATTTAGATTCCTACTGTTAAAGCCCTTACAACAAGGAAAAAATATCATTAATTCCTACTGGCTAAAATACAACTATCATCTATTAAGTATTAAGAGTAATTTCTTTGCTAAGACCTGTGATGCACATGGGAATTATATTACCACCATGAATACAACACAATTGTACCCTGGCAAAAGAATATATATCTACACATCTTTCTATGGGATACCTTGCAAACTCATTTAGTAATTTCCTCAAACTACATTTTGAACTTTTGTAATACCTCTCTCAATTGACAAACTACTTCCTCTCTTTTTAATTAAGTTCTTTTAACTATATATACCCTTAATTTCCAGGGTATCCAGAGCAATTCTTGAATAAAAGTAGAGGAAAATGTTGTCTTTATCCCTGGCTNAAAAAAAAAAAAAAAAAGAATTCTGAAGATGGATGGTGGTGACGGTCACACAACAATCTGAATATACTTAATACCACTGAGCCATACACTGAAAAATGGTTAAGATGGTAAATTTTATATGTTTTTATTACAATTTTTTAAAGATTTAAAGTAAAAAAAGTGAAATTTTAATATATTTTAACCCAATGTTATCATTATGGCATGCAATCAGCATAAAAAATTATTAATGAAATAGTTCACATTCTTTTTTCAGACTAAGTCTTCAAACTGCCATGTGTATTTTATCTACATAACAGTTCAGATGTGCCACATTTCAAGTCCTCAGCAGCCACACTAGTTGATGGCTCTAGCTGATGGCTGCCATGAGGGACTGTGGACCACTGTGGCCAGAAATAAGGATTTTACTAAGAAACATGTTAAATGATGACAACTAATAGATTTCTTTTTAAATTATGTAAAGAGTATTTGTATAGCAGAATAATTTATATAGATCTTGAGGGTACCATTTGAAGAGTTTTGACAAATGTACATATAAGCAACAACCAAATTAAGATACATTTCCATCACATAGATTTCCTTTCACACCCCTTTCTAGTTAATCTGCTCCCCTTGTCCCACTCGGCAACCTCTAATTTCTAACCCCACAGGTTTCCTTTGCCATTAATAAACTTCCCATCATGGAATTAGACAGTATTTACCCCTGTGATTAGTTTCTTTCACAACATTTTGTCTCTGATAATCATTCAATGCATTGTATGCAGACATAGTTCATGCTTTTCGATTGCTATGGCATAATCCATTTTTATGAATATATTAACATTTTTAATCCATTCTTTTATGATGAACATTCAGGTGGTTTCCAATTTGAGGCCATTATGAATACAGCTGCTATGAACTTTCTTATAAATGTTTTTTGATGCACATGAATTCATTTATCTGGGGGATATGAACCAAATCTAACCCACTGCCCATTTCTGTACAGCTTGTGGGTTAAGAACAGGTTTTATATTTTTGAATGTTTGAAAAACATCAAAAGAAAGCATGTCATGATGTGAAAATTATATGAAATTCAAATTTCAGTGTCCATGAATAAAGCTTTACTGGAACACTGCCACAGTTGTTTACATGTTGTCCAATCTACTTTTACAGTTCAAGAGCAGAATTGGGTAGTTACAGCAAAGGCCATATGGCTCCCTAGAGTATCTACTACCTAGCCCTTTGCAGGAAAAGTTTGTTGATCCCTGTCTTACACAATGCAATGGTCAAAGTAAGATGTAGCCTTACTAAAACTTA